TGACAGGGACCCCTTCTCCCCCTTCTCTGTGAAACCCCCCCCCCACTTGTGATGTTTATTTTAAACATTTTATTTTAAACATAACAATGAGGGCAGGTTTCATTCACAGAGAAGGCTGGGGGTGGGGGAGGCAGGAAGAATACCTGCAGGAAGGCTGTTGAAGGCAGAGTGGAGGATAAAAGCAAAGGACTTGATTCAGCAATCCAGCCTCCAGCAAAAGCCCACGGTAGCTGAAGGAGAGAGAAGAGGAGGAAGGAGAAAGGTGGAAGACCAGGGCAGAGAAGTAAATGACCGAGAATATTTCAGGTACCTTGTCAACCATCCTGAGGACTTGCATTTACATGGAATAAAACACCCAGTGTTGGCTTTCTTCTGAGATTATTGTGAAGTGTAGAGTGAGGGAACTTTTTGAGTGGGAAATGACTAATCTGATTTGTGTTTTTACAGAATTACATTATCTGATGTGTTAAGAGAATTCAGGGTGCAACACAGAAGGAGACCCCATTTAGAGACTATTATGTTAACAGAGGAGACTAATGATGGTGCCTGGGTGGGGATCATAGCAGTGAAAGCGGTAAAAATGCATCCGTTTCTACATATGTAGAAACTGTGCTATTTAATGATGGGAATAAGTTCTGAGAAATGTATCTTAGGTGATCTAACATAGTTCAACCATCATAGAGTGTTCTTGCATAAACCAAGACAGCTAAGATGTCATCAGGCAATAGGAATATTTACACTCCATTAAATCCTTCCAAAGAAGTTAACTAACATACTGGCAATCTTATAATTTTTCCTTTACAGAGGGCTGAAAACTATATATTTTAATACAGTAGAACAAATGTAATACTGTTTCTTTTCATTAAATTGTGATATTTCACTGAAATAACACACACACACACACACACACACACACACACACACACACGTTACAAAATATGGATAAATACCGCCATCTAGTGGCATTACTAATCTCAGTCTATAATGGAATACATACAAATATTCAGTATTTGTATAAAATGGTAAAATTCATAAACTAAAGATATTGTTATAAATGTATAGGATAAATAAATGTAGGGAATAGAGATCAAAGAAATGAAATTAAGGATTAAGTAAAAGGCTTTTTCAATGCTCAAGTCTTCTTTAAATATTGACTTTATTCTATATACAATTGGTTGTTTTTCATACCACATTCCTTTATTCATTTTTTTATTCTTTCATCTGTTTATAAACTCATTTATATTGTATATACTCACTTTATATAACCATAACTACAAGGACTAAATGATGAATTTAGAAAAATTTCTGTGAAAGCCTGTCACGTCTCACAATTGAATCAGTCAGGGTCATTCCAAGTGAATTTGGGGAATAAATAAAGACACAGACAAAGGAAGTACCTTTTCTTTGGGTTAAGTAAACACTCCTCAGCTGCAGCTCCCACAAAGGGGGCAAGGCAGGCAATAAAGAGAATGAGGAACAGGTGCTGAACCCTTTTATTGGGGAGAAGCCATTCAAATAAGGCAAGGGGTGGGATTACAAAGGGACAGGTGAGTGTAACTCAATCCCTGGAGCCACGCCTTGCTATCTGAGCTGGGGTAACACCCCAAGTTACTGCAAGAGCTGGTACTGTAGTTCCAGACTGAAGGCAATAATTGGTCAGTGTCCTGGGGCATCAGGACTTGAAGGTCTGCATCCAGGACAGCTCCTGACAAAAGTCCATGTCCAGATAGACGTTGGGGAAGGGGGGAATGCAACTCAAATGTTTATTATACAACATGATTGTTAAAATGTAGTATAGCATATTCAAAGAGAATGCTGGAAAATAATCAAGGTAGGATTAGAGAGAGACTCATGAAATAGGTGATAATTGTAATGTTTCGCCTTCCATCAGTGGCCAATTACCATTATCCTCTTATTACGAATGTACATTGAATTAACCTATTTGCATTCAAACCTTCAGTAGAGTGTCATCAGATCTAAGTGTTCAGAAATGCCACACCAACCACCTACGTGCAAAACTCATCACCTTGCTGATGTATCATTTATGGTTTCCTATGGCCTACAAAAAATAAGAGAAATTGGAGGGTCAGTATGCCTTGTTTCAAATCCAGGTTCCATCACTCAGATGGAGGTCCATAAGTTATATGGAGCTAGCTAGGTGACCTCTGTGTGCAGATTTCTCATCTACACAGTGTGATGAACACAGCTCCTAATTCATAAGTGGTAGTAGTGAATTATTACAGTTTGTCTAACCCTAAGAATGCCTTCTGGCAAATAGGCAGCAGTCTAAAAACATGTCTAGTTATTATCTATCTCTCTTCTACCCACCTGGTCAAACTTCCACTGTGAAGGCATTTCCTCTTTATACTTACAGGGAGGTTGGAATAAACAACATCTGAACTTAGATTTAAATCAATCTAAAGAATTTAGATTTCAAATTAATCCAACACTTGTTTAAAACTAGCTTTAGGGCTGGGGATGTGGCTCAAGTGCTACCGCACTTGCCTGGCATGCGTGAAGCCCAGCTTCGATCCTCAGCACCACATACAAACAAAGATGTTGTGTCCGCCGAAAACTAAAAAATAAATATTAAAAAATAAAAAATCATCTCTCTTTAAAAAATAGAAAATAAAAAAATATAACTAGCTTTAATATTTCATACACACATTCTACTCTACCCAGAACAGGGCTTTTTCTGTCCTAAAACATTGTCTATTTTGATATCTTCTAAGCCTTTGCCTGACTGAACACCACTTCATCTTTCAAGGATTCACTCATAACTACACATTCCATGAAACTCCACTTTACTCATATTATCTCTTTTTTAATGAGTTCTTACAATTTTCTAAACTGTAATGCTCTACCCTTCAGGGCCTCGTTTTGGTCCTTAATTATATTCTAGATTGTAGAATTTGTTTAATTGCATATGTCCTGATTTTTCCATGTCAGTGATTTTCAGCTGGAGCCAAAGAATACACAACCCACTTCCAAATAGGATACTGTATGAATCTCATCTGATTAATTCTACAAATTTCTCCTGTCTCCTAAAGCATTCTCACATGGCCTCCTTCTCAGCCTTATTAAAGAATCACTGCGTTAGCAGGGCATCATGGTGCACATTTGTAATCTCAGCAACTCAAAAAGCCAAGACAAGAGGATCAAAGTTTAAGCCAAGATCAGCAGCTTAGTAAAAGCCTTTCTCAAAATTAAAAAAAAAAAATTAAAAATTTACAAAAAAAGGTTTGGAGGTGTCACCTGGTGGTAAGTGTCCCTGGGTTCAATCTCAGTATCAAAAAATGCATATTCATATATTCTCTGCTTTATGACACCAATCAAGTGATAGGGTTTGTGCTTTTCCTAAAGTACATTAGAATGGAAAAATGATAAAAACTGCTAGAATAGGATAATTTGAAGCCAGGGGTTAAGTAGTAAGATATATACAATAGAGAACCTAGTTTAAAGGTTAAATATGTTGAGGATTTAGAAAACATTCACTTTATATATGTTAAAATTACATTTTATCAATTGAAACTTAAAAACCCATAACAATGAGTATAATCTATATAAAGTAAAATTCATTGATTTTGGTGCAGTGTGATCACAATCTGAATCAAGATACAGAGCATTTCTAATTCTTTCCAGATTGCTCCTTCACATTATTGAATAATGTTTCCAGGAAACATTATTCAATTAACACCTGTTGAATAACTTCAATCTTTTATTCTACAAGTATTTATTGAGTTCCTCTTGTGTGTACGAGAATTCAGTTTCCTCAGGCTCGAACATTCATCTCTGTTCATTGCGATAGCTCCAACACCTGAAGAATGTCTGGTTCGGAATGGCCCCTTAAGGACTACTCAGTAAAGGAGTTGGAAATGTAGCACAGAAGATTACAATGAAATTAAATAGGACAGGAGACATCATGTGCTTCTTACTCTACTCCAACCACCTGGCACAACTTCAGACATTTATTAATTGATCATTAAATAAACTGCATTGATTGGCCCTAGCAAAAAAAAATCAAAAAGTTTCCGTTTTAACAATTAGCACTTTGTGGATGAATGCTTTTATTTGTTAAAATGAAAATCCATAACATAGAAAAGGTTTTGTTGGATAATGCTAAATAAAATTTAAATTATGACCATTTCATTGTTATTCCAATATAGTATATTATGCCTTTTTGTTATCTTTTATTTAAATTCTATTATTTAGCGACCATGGAACTAAAATACTCTTGTAGATTTTCAAGTAAAATTAGATATTTGCACATTTTAGCAAAAGGCAGTAAGTTTTAAACATCTTTCAGATGTCTTGGTAACTACAGAAAATTAACTTGGCACGTACTTTTCTTAATTTCCTTTCTATACTAGAAAAATAAAAGGCAAAACATTAAAAATATCAATTTCATATTCTTTATGCCTGCATTCCAAGAACAATGAACACAGAACATTTTTCTCTGGAAGCATTTAACTTTCAATGTCTTGAATAATGCAGCTGTTGATTGAAGAAGAAAGTTCTAAGATTATTTAATCAATTTATGTAAGTTTTTAGCCATAGCATAACTAAAGACACCCTGCTAAAAAAAAAATGACTATTGTGATGATAAAATACATGTTTTTCTTAAGAATGTATTTACTTTTTTTTTAATTCTACAAAGAAAACCAAGAACACTCAACTAAAATGTTTTCAGGTTTCAAGTTCTATGTATTTTCATAGAGAGATCAAAAGGGAAGGTTTGGGATTGGGGAATAGGGAAAGAAAATTCTTCTATGTAGATATGACCACAAGTCCATGTGTTTTATCATGTAGAGACAAGATTAAATCAGTCATTTTCAAACCCTCAAATCAATCCTCTTGGGAAATCCATAGATATATGCATGAATTGAAACAGATTTCTTACTATGTGAAATAACACAGAAAAGTAACTCTTAATAACAGACTTCCTGCAATTATTCCATTCCTCTTGTAAGTTTGGTAACTAATATAATAAAAATATTTACCTTCTCCCCCACAGAACCTGGTTGAGGAACTAAAGGAGCAGCTTTCATCGCATTTCAAAGAGGTTATGGTTGGCCTCATGTACCCTCCACCATCTTTTGATGCTCATGAACTGTGGCATGCCATGAAGGTAGTGATCTATGCAAAAATAATACCTGTAGCAGGCACAACCTGATGTTTAATAAATGGGAAACTCTCCCGTGATGCTCCTACATACTTTTATGATTGGGAGGAGAGGAGAATATATCTAAGCAATGATGTAACAATGGAAATATTGTGGTTGGGGAAAGGAGCCTTGTTAGGAGGAGAAAGTCTCCAGAGTCCTGTGGCTAGGATCAGTCTGTTCTGTAGTTGTAGACACTCAGACTTACCAAGCCAACTCCAAACTCAGCTATGAAATAAAGAAAGAAAGAGAGAGAAAGGAAGGAAGGAAGGAAGGAAGGAAGGAAGGAAGGAAGGAAGGAAGGAAGGCCAGCCTTCAGGGTTACTCATATTTGTCTCTCTTTGATAGGTATTCATATATTGAAGAAGATATCTTAAAAATTCATGTGAATTTCTAAAATCATTTGTAAAAGTTTGGTTCAGATTCAAAATAAAATACTGAATTGGAAACAGAGAACATCTTTATTTTTATGATCTTATAGAGGACAACTTTTTAAATGATATTAAATTAGTCCTTTACAAAAACTATTGCTCAAGTGTATCAAATTTTACTTTTGAAGAATTAGAATGAATTCACCTTACAGAAAGAAATTGTTAAATCAGTTCCATGAAATAAATTGACTACAGATTTTGTATCTAGGGACATGAGAAAAAGAGAGCTATTTCCTTCTTTGCAAAACTGACATTAAACACCTGCAGAACCAATTATTCCAATATGATGCCTGACAACCACCAGAATACCACAATATGTGAGCAATGTGTGACAGGAAAAGAAGCAAGAGACAACATAATTAAAGGAACATAGATTTGGGCCATCATATTTGCTGATCAAAATAGATGTTGTCTGAAAGTCATACAAATTTCAATTGATCACTTTTTAAAAAATGTTTCATATCCATTTTTGACAAAATTACATAACTATAATTTGAAATAAAAAGTCCTATATTGTGGCTGGGATAGTAGCTCAGTGGTGGAGCGCTTGTGTAGCATGTGTGAGGCACTGAGTTCGATTCTCAGCAAGCATATAAATAAATAACTAAAAATAATTTTTAAAAGTCCTATGTTACTGATTAGATGAAACTAGTATATTTTAATCAATATTTCCTAGAATGGCAATGATTCCTGAGGTTTTCCTGAAAAAAAAAAAAAGATGTGGTGTCTTTAAAATCACTATCATAGACTAATATATTTATCTCTGTATATGAGCCCACAGAAAGCTCCTAATTCAAATGCTAAGGAAAATTGTGCAAAATTACCCATCTAGGGAGAGGCAGAGCTTGATCCCCAAAACTTTCTTAGGAAAAGTAGAAGACATGTGTCCTCTTTTCAGCTAGCTTAAGAACTGATTGCCTAACAACACCTGGAGTAAATTTCATTCCAGAAACAGGTGGAAATGCTCAGTGTCTTTTTCCACATTGGTTAGAAATACCCATGCTGTTTTACTCTCAAGGAAGGAAAAGAATTTTCTTAAATAATGTTATCTTCCCAGGATTAAACGTGAGTAAGTGAAAGAGCCTGAACTGAAATTGGGCTGTTTATCCCAAATACTTCCTTTCCCACTTGCCACCTCTCAGAACACCAGAATGCTGTATGCCTTCATTGAATATCAGGTTCCTTGTTATTGCAAATGTAAATGGGCTTATATTTCTCTCTGTCTCTCTAGGGAGCCGGCACTGATGAGAATTGCCTCATTGATATATTGGCGTCAAGAACAAATGGGGAAATTTTCCAGATGCGAGAAGCTTATTGTTTACGTAAGAAAATTTCAATATGAGCATATATTGTACACACAATAGAACTTCATGTTTTTCAAATAACATAAAAATATTCCAATTTATATATTTTAAAGAATTTTTAAAGACATTCTCCTACATGACGTATGACTCACAGGAATAGAATAGTGGTTACCAGGGACTGAGGAGAGTGGGTGGGAGGCAGGACTGGGAGAGGCTGGTGAGCTGGTACAGGTACCATCAGGAAGAATCAGTTCTGGTATTCTGTTGCAAGGTAAAGTTGACAATAATGCATTGTATATCTCAAAACAACTAGAATAGAGGACTTTATATGTACTCACAATAAAGAAATGAAAGTTTGTCCGGTATGGTTACACACTCCTGTAATCCCAGCAGCTCAGGAGGCTGAAACAGGAGGATCATGAGTTCAAAGTCAGTTAGCAAAGCACTTAGCAACTCAGAGAGACCCTGTCTCTAAATAAAATATAAAAAAGAACTAGGAATGTTGCTCAGTGGCTAAGCAGCTTTGGGTTCAATCTTCAGTACAGAAAGAAAGAAAGAAAGAAAGAAAGAAAGAAAGAAAGAAAGAAAGAAAGAAAGAAAGAGAAAGGAAGGAAGGGAGGGAAATTTAAGATGCTAGCTATGATAATTACCTAGATTTGATTGTTGCACACACAATGTATTCATAAATTGAAACATTATATTGTACTCTATAAATATATACAATTATTGCATGTCAATCAAAAGAAAAAATAAGACAAAAATATTTGTTTTTAAAAAATAACAATATGACTCAAGACCAACAATTCATTAAGGAAAAATGATGATTAGCATATGAAAAATGACAGTTCCCTAGAAAATCAAACCAATTTTCCAGGAAAATAATTACAAGAATCTACGCAGTGAATGTTTTACCTATGACAGGAAGGTGTCCAGCATCTTGGTTCAGAGGGCATTTTATCTCTTACTCAAGAGAGAAATGGAACCCCAAAAAAGGAAGCAAAGTACAATCATTGTTGGAGAATTCTAAAAGTACATCTGCTTCCACTTTACATAAGTTACATACTCCCTGTAATCTACTTCAGAGTCAGATCTTACACGTTTCAAATTAATTTTTATTATTTTTTTATTTTTATTATTATTATTTTCAACAAGCTTTAATGCCTTAAGTTCCATTCCATAATGCATTATGCAATACTGAACATTAAGAAATTGATGTAGACAGTCACCTCTATTGCTTCCTGGCAAAAACAAGACTTTTTCAAGGAGAATGAAGGAAGAATATTCACTTAAAATATTAAAATGAGACAAAGCACTTGGGAAGGGTACTAGACGGGGAAGCAGTCTATGCAAATAGAGGGCATAATTCTGAATTTTGAGAATCAGAGAATGCGGAATGATTTTCAACTCTTTTCTTCAATGTTGTAATAAAGAGAATTTTTAAGACAACAGACCTATGCCAAAGATACCATTAGTTGACAGATTTCCTGAACAGTTTGTTGGCAAAGAAATGTCATGAGATTGATCGTATTTCCTGTACTTTCCGTTCACAACTGAGGCAAGTAGCATTGACTTAACCAAAGCCCATTGGTCTGTGGTTCCACAACCAATCACCTTTAACGTGCATGGTTTCTTGTCTAGAATACAGCAGTAACCTTCAAGAGGACATTTATTCAGAGACCTCAGGACACTTCAGAGATACTCTCATGAACTTGGTCCAGGTATGCCATTCCAAAATTCATATTATTTTCCAGTATTAAAAAATAGATATGTCATTTCCAAATAAATATAACAGATAACTCCAGTATAGCACAAAGAGTAAGTTATATATAATAACATTTACTGGATATCATCCATGTCCCAGGAACTCAACTAGAAGTTTGACTTGGGTATAGAAACAAATATGCATACACTGAAACCATACGTAAGTGATTATAAATGTGCCTGCATACATAAATAATTATATATGCTAAGAGAGTGAAGAGATTTGAAATGCTACAGACATATTTTTCAATTTTAAATTAAAATTAATCCCATTTTTTTTAAAAACAGCTAAAGGGGATAAGCGCATACTAACTTTCTTGAGTTACTGCTAAGTGCCTGGCACTGTGTGATAAGAGTAGCATACTATTCATTTATCAACAACAAAATACTGTAATATGGAAATTCTTATAAGCACTTTTGAAATGAAGAAATAAAAATTCAAAATACATAAAGTTTTTAGCTCTGACTGTTCAATGAGCTAAAAAGTAGATATTCTGAATTTGTTTGAATCCTGTATACTCTTGAGGGCCAGCATAGGATCTCAGTGCTACCTATAAAAATTCTGTTATACTATATTTACCAAATAGGATACTATACATTACTTCAAATCAATATTATATTTTGTCACCTATCTTATTTTTCTGTACAGACTAATTGGTATGAGTTAATTTCCATTCAATTAACATTTCCTGAAAACATCCAACTATTAGCATTGTAATAAGAATAATATTTTTAAAGTTATAATTATCTTTTTAAATGCATATTCTCAAATGTGCCTGTCATCCTCTTTAGCAAAGCCATTCAGGAAAGCAAAAAGAGTCAGTGTTTCATGCTTAACTACTAAAAGAGAAACTAAAAAATGTCTTAAGAGCCAATAATTCAGTTTGGTTTTGTGTGTATGTGTGTGTGTGTGTGTGTGTGTCTCTGTATGTGTGTGTGTCTCTGTGTGTGTGTCTGTATGTGTGTGTCTCTGTGTGTGTGCATGCACACTTATGTGTGTTTGAAATGAAAGAATTTCTGAATCCACAAAATTTTTCTTTATACATCAAAAAACAACTGAGTAATTAGCAAAGAATTTCACTAAAAGCCACAGACAGGTGGAATTTTGCACATGAGGATGTAGAATTAAGAAAAGATTCCACAGCCTCTAAAGAAAGAAGAATATATGAAAGTCCACTGATAGACAAGAAAGGACCCTGCAGGAGGAAACTGGAGTGACACTTTCCTGCAGGAGGAAACTGGAGTGACACTCCTTGAAACACCCTCAGGAACCCAGAGTCGCAGACCTTCAGTTGAGGAGTTGGAATCACCAGATGAACACGCAAGCTGGGCCATCATGCATTCTTTCTTCTTTTCTCTAAAACACGCCAGTACCCGTTGCTTCTCTGAGTTCTGGATTGCTTTTAACCTGAAAATTTCTGTTCCTGCTGTTGACACACTGGGAGAGGTTCATGTTTATCCTTCAGCCTTCTTGACTAAGTCTGAGGTGATGCGCTGGGGTTTATCCTCTTGGAGGGTTCTACCTCTTTCACAGATCAATTTGGTAAATTGAGAGGTCTATAGGTTTGTTTATGGCTTGAGTGATACACGCTTTTCTTTCATCTGAGTTTATGAAGTCTTTTTAAATGAGCAAAATCTTGGAAGAATTGATACCTACTTGCTTTCAGTTAGATTCATGTACCACTTAACCACACCCAAAGTTTTTTCCTAGATCTGTTTCTCCAAAATGACCTACTTCTTTTTTGCATCCTTGCATTCCCCTTTTGTCCTCATTTTTTTTTATAACTTAAAGACTCAGTCAGTAAAATTAGTTGAGTGTTCACTGCAAGGTGAAATCATAAAATGTCCTTGCCTTTCAAAGCCTCTAGAACTCTCATGTCACACTGAAGTAGTTTCTCCTTCTACTTCTTCGAGGCATCAAATTTCTAAACTATCTCTTTTCTCTCTTATTTCTGCTTGCAAACTGACAATTCATTTTCTGAGCTCATCTCTGTTTTGTGATACATGGCTAAAAGCATAAAGTAAATACTATTTCTTAAGCTCACCTGAAGACCAGAACAGATTTTATTGATTAGAGAATAGCTCTCCTTCAAGAAGTGATCCAGATGCTCAGTCTCTTTCACCTTCCTACCTGGCTTTTAAGCTTATCACAGCTCTCCTCAATCTGCAGAAGCAGGACAATGGAGAATTATTCATGGACGTTTTTATGAGCTTCAATGTGCTACATAAAATTTTTGCTCAAGTTCCACTGGCTAACCCTCACATAAATCAAAGGTGGTAGCAAAATATAGTCTGTTTGTCTTCACTTTTTAACAATGAGTTATCAGCAAGCACCAAAATTTCCAAGAGAATTGGCTGTTGCAATCCAGATAGACAAATGAACAGCAGAAGATGGGAAGAATGAAGATGCACATGACAAGAAGTCGAAAACTCTGAACATGACTGTCTCAGGCTGAAAGAGAATTTCCAAAAAGGTAGCAAATACAAACAAAAAGAAATGCAAAGTTCTGTGCAATCTTTCTTACAAGTAGTTTAAACAGAGAAGTGCCTTTGCATTTATTTATTTACTTACTTACTTATTTACTTACTTACTTATCTTTTTATTTATTTATTTAAATTAGCTTATTTATCTTAATTAGGTATAAATAGCAGCAAAATGCATTTTGATTCATTGTACACAATTGCAGCACAACTTTTCATTTCTCTGGCTGTACACCATATAGCATTACATTCTATGTGCAGTCATATTTGTACCTAGAGTAATGGTGTCCATCTCATTCCACCATCTTTTCTGCACCCATACACCCTCCTCACCCTCCCTTCCCTTTGCCCAATCACAATTCCTCCATTTTTCTCATGTCTCCCCACTCCCCATTATAGATCAGCATCTACTTACCAAAGAGAACATTCAGCCTTAGCATGATATTCTCCAACTTCATCCATTTATCTGCAAATGCCATAATTTTATTCTCTTTTAATGTTGAGTAATATTCTATTGTGTAAATATATCATAGTTTCTTTATCCATTCATCTATTGAGGGGCATCTAGGTTGCTTCCACAGTTTAGCTATTGTGGATTAAGATACTATAAACATTGAAGTGATTGCATTACCATAGTATGTTGATTTTAAGTCCTTTGCATATAAGACTGAGGATTGGAATAGCTGGATCAAATGTTGGTTCCATTTCAAGTTTTTTGAGGAATCTCCATACTGCTTTCCAGATTGGTTGCACCAATTTGCAGTTCCACCAGCAATGTATGAGTGTGCCTTTTCCCCCACATCCCTGCCAACATTTATTCTTGTCTGTATTCTTGATAACTGCCATTCCAGCTGGTGTAAGTAGTTTTGATTTACATTTCTCTGATTACTAGAGATGTTGAACATTAAATCCAAGAAATAAAATCAAGAATGGGATGGACTCAAACTAAAAATCTGCTTCTCCTTAAAAGAAACAATCAATGAGGTGAAGAGAGAGCCTACATTCTGGGAGCAAATTTTTGTCACACACATGTCAGATACAGCACCAATCTCCAGGATATATAAAGAACTCAAAAAACTTAACACATAAAAAACAAACAACCCAATCAATAAATGGGCTGAGGAGCTGAACAGACATTTCTCAGAAGAAGCTATGCATTCAATCAACAAATATATGAAAAAAAATGTTCAACATCTCTGCCCTTCGAATTTTTATCTATGCTTATGTTTGGGAACATATCCTTATTATGTCACCATTTCAAATGACCTTTTAAAAGTCCAGTGTATAAAAGTTTCTTGGTCCTACTTTTAATCTTATTTGGAGAGTGTGGTGGTGCTTATTTTAGAATCAAAGAGGAAATTAAATATCAAGAGCAAGAATGGACTACTTTAATCTGAATGTATCAGTTTTCTACATAATTAATCCTACCATGAATAATTAGATTCTAGGAGATGAATGAAAATCCAGAGATACTGCTTATTTTCATCTTTCATTTCTTCTGTTTTCTTTTGGACATGAAGTATGTATAAAATTTTGGTTGAACATTTACCTATATTTTTTTTAATCTTGCTGATTTGTTCCAACAAAGAATCGAAAAAGCAAAATATTTAAGATGCTGAAATGGAATTAAGTAATTATTTTCCATCATACGTCTCAAGGAATCTATTATTCATGGCCTCCTTCTGCTCCATGAGGACTTCTCTTCTCCAAGACATTTATGTGCATTTCTGTTAAAAAAAAAATCTTATCCCATGAGAACTACATCCATTCTACCCCATTCAGTTTTGCAATCGTAACTAAGCTCTGTACATGGCACATGGTAAACAATTCATATTCTTTGGAAATAAATAACACAATAAACAAATTATTTAGAAAAAATCCAAGTGAACAAAATTCATTGCTGGTTAAAGAAGAATGCATCCTATGTGATGATTCTTTAACAGCACCCTGGAAATTGAGCACCATTTGCATGCAAACAGAGTAAGGAGAAGAGTGCCCAGGTCTATGGAAAGGTGATGCGTAAGCAGGCTGGCTGCTTTGAAGAGCTCTGTTGAATAGGGAGAGTTGGTCTGATCAGAGTGCTGGCTGAAATGGCATGCAGAAAAGGTTCCTATAAGCAGTAAAGAGCCTCTGGAAAATTTCTGAGCAGGATGTGACATGACAGGGATGACTTTAAAATCATAGCCATCACAATAATTTACCATGACAAATGAAGGAAACTAGTAGTGAGAGCCTCACTTGTATCCAAAATTAAGAAAATGTGATTCATTAAAAATAAAAAATATTTTTCCTTCTTAAATCTGTTTAATTTCTGTACTTCTATTCTTCTCCTTAAGATTATAGTAATCAAATCAATCAGATGTGCTCTGAGTATAAGCTGAAGTAATACAAGAAACAATGAGAAAATTCAGCAGGAGGCAAGAAACATACATTTACAGAGGGGAAAAAGGTATTAAAAAGCATTCCTCTGTGTTAT